TTTTTAAAGGGGGGTTCCGCCAGGAGGGGGTGGTTCCTTTTTTTTTGGGGTTTGTGTTTTTGTTTTTTGTTTTCTAGTAGTTTTTTTAATAAAAATATAAAAAAAAAAACTCTAAAAAAAAAAAAAAAAAAAAGGAAGGGGGGGGGGGGGGGGGGGTTTTCGTCGAATTTTGGCGTTGACAGCATTTCCAACTTATAGGATCCAAACTCTTGCGTCTAGTTTAGATCTTTAACGGTCTTCGAAATAGGAATTGTGAATGTTCATAATATTTTCGTTGTTGACGTGTTTCTAAATAGTGCACAAACATTAATTTTTCTGCTTGTGTAGTGTTCGTAGGCGTAACTGCTGATCATGTAGTTCCGGGATCGAATCTCAGGACCAACCAAAATAAGTTATTGCATTTTTTGTCAATAAATTCTCAATAGCAGCCCGGAGAAAGTTAATCAGAAAGTTAACAATTCTTAACCTTGGAAAACATAGTCCTCGGAAAGCAGGCAAAGCCTGTGCTGCAAATGTTGTATTGGTCCTGTGCCTGATCTCCCACCGTTCGTGTCCAGTCCGGTTCAGTGCACTTTGTATATCCTCACTCTCATAGTCTAATGCGACTATGAGAGTCCGGTTCAGTGCACTTTCTATATCCTCACTCTCATAGTCTGATGCGACTATGAGAGTCCGGTTCAGTGCACTTTCTATATCCTCACTCTCATAGTCTGATGCGACTATGAGAGTCCGGTTCAGTGCACTTTCTATATGCTCACTCTCATAGTCTGATGCGACTATGAGAGTCCGGTTCAGTGCACTTTCTATATGCTCACTCTCATAGTCTGATGCGACTATGAGAGTCCGGTTCAGTGCACTTTCTATATCCTCACTCTCATAGTCTGATGCGACTATGAGAGTCCAGTTCAGTGCACTTTGTATATCCTCACTCTCATAGTCTAATGCGACTATGAGAGTGAGGATAAAGAAAGTGCACTTGTGCTTGCGCGCACATTCGTGCATTATAATCCTTTCCTACGTGGTTAGCTATTCTTCGTTAAGACTGGCCGCTGTAACCGAAATTCGGTCAAGAGGACACTATTATTACACAAACCATAAATAATATTAAAGTAACCATAAATATATATAAGTTAAAAAGTTCGTATCCAAAACTCTGTTTTCCTACTTAGATTTATATATAAGAACAGACTAAAAGAACAGTTTTTAACAAAAAAAATCACAACATTTATAATTTCAAAATTAAATAAAAACGATAATCACGTTTGTGCATTTATTAATTTTCAAATGTGTTTTTAGAAATGTTTTAGGACAATGTCTTTGTAGAATTTTTGTGTTGTAGGTATATTATAACTTGAAGTATATTAGTTCACATAATATAGATAATCCAGCTAAGAGATACATTCTGGCAATACTACGCTCAAGGTGCGTTGGCCACATTGTTGCGCAACTCGTTCTGTAGCGGGTCGCCACTTACAGTGCATAGATCACATGTCGCTCATTTGTCCGTATCCAATGATCTGTAATGTTGCGACTGACGGCGACATGGTTCCTTAACGATTGCAATATTAGATAATTTAATTGTAATTCCTAAACATTTTAATACGTTATACACAAAAGGGCAAAGGAATCTAAGGTATATTTTATTTGACTCTATGTAAGTAAAGATTTGCATTGTGTACCGAATTGAGATAAATCTTTTAGCGCAGCTCTAATTTGCATTCATTTGGACGTGTGAACATGAATATTTTTTTACTTTTTTGACTTTATACCTGACGGATAAAGTAAAGAAGATAAAGTGAAGAACTTTTTCAATCGATGGCATAATATGATTAACTATTCCGTGAGTTTCGTAAAATAACAGAAAGATATTTAGAAAAAAGAGAAGAATTTTTATCCATTAACCTCGGTATAATATCTAGTCATTGTGGAAAGTAAGGTGTGCAAGAAATCTGATAGTACGATCGCCATCGCCAATCCACGTGCCAAATTCTGCTCTAACAGCAACTCGTTATTAATATGAGGTCACTGCAGGTATATTTTTAAAACGAAAAAGGAATTTGTGCTACATAATTTTAAGCTATTGCATAGCTTCTATCGCGGGCCTTGAGCGCGGGGACCGAATCCAGAAATTCCGTAACGAAAAAAACCTCACGCTCCCCACTCCGACGGGCACGGAGGTGTGGCGTTGAAAGCCATGCATCGTCTAACGTCGTTTCAGTTCGGCAGACTTCGGCACGGTGTTTGTGTGCGTGTACACTAGCTGCTAACTCAATGATAAAATTTTCTGAATAACCTACATATATTGTAAGATATTAAAAATATTTTAAACAATATTAACTTCTCATTCATTCAATAAGAGAAAAAAAATTGTTTTCTTATCGGTCACCACGCTCAAAAAGTGTAATTGATTTAATTCAAAGACTTAACTGCATAAATAAAATAAATAAATAATTATAATTGCATAAGTTGATAAAAAATGATATGCAATAGCTTTACCGCGGCAGTCAACGAGTGCCACACGTATTTTTTTTAATACTGCAAATTTGTGCTGCCGCCGGCCAGTGTGTTAAAGCTACGCCTCTGATAATCTAAAGAAATGCATTTATTAATAATAATAGATATTATATTTATTATAATAAGAAATAAACATATGGACAAGTAACGTGTGCAGACTGTAACGTAAATTATAATAACTTGCTCAATAAAATCATAAAGATGACAACAAATCTGTATCATTCCTTTTAGGTCACGTTGAAAAAACATTTTATAAATTTGTATAAATAAAACATAAACAAAATGTGTAAAAAATGTATTATACTAACTCTTTGACCAAGATATCAGCGAGGTTGGTCATATGTGTTTTTTATAGAATAAGGGTAACAAACGAGTTCACAGACAGAATCAAAATGCAGATGCATTGTCATCCCTGAGGACTAAGATGATATGATCCATTTCCAGTTAAAAGGATCTCCAGCCCTCTACACTCACCATACAGAACACTGCAACACTAGGCTACTATTTCGCGCTGGTATTCTGTGAGAGCATAGTCCTTCCACGGTAGAGTCGGCCCATTTTTGCTACAATTATAATATAGCTGCATCAGTTTTGAAAATTCTTAAATAACTTAGTACTAATTTGCTCGACAATAGGTTATTTTGCACCATGTAAAAAAAATCAAAAAAATACATATTGATGGTAGGTTCTGTTAAAAGTAAACTTGAAATGTTTCAAATTTTAAATTAAACTAATTTGAAGGATTTTATCGCGTTTAATTTTGATTTTTTAACTTTGCTATTAAAAAGTCAAAATTAAACGCGATAAAATCCCTAAAATTAGTTTCATTTAATGTATAGTGTTCGCGTAAATGTAATAAGTCATTAGGTAAACAAATTTTAACAAACAATAAACTTCTTTGAATGTTAAAAACTACTGCAACTCGGGTAGTGCATACATCTGCCACCAACTTAAAACAGAAAACTTGCGTTGATATCCCTGAAAACTGAAATACCTTCACCACTTTTAAATTCTATGCGGCACTTGTATACGTACGTAATTATACGGCCGCTACTTAATAGCAAAAGATAGACATAACTTTGTGTTGAAATACAGATTGTCTCTGCGAATGCATCCTGGCATACCTCTTACCACACAATATATTGCAATTGGCACAATTAGTTATATCATTCATGACTGAATTAACATGAATAGTGCCTCTTGGCTTCCGCGCATACATGTGTCATTTATCTCGTACGCAGTTATTCTTCTTATATTTCATCAGCATATAATAGTCCACTGCTTGTCCTTTTTAGGATAACTAAGATTGGCAGGTAGATTGCGTATATATCGTGCATCTTTGGTGCTGCTCACTGTTGCTGATCTAGGTATTTTACGTCTACCATGGCCAGCCGTGAGATTTTTTTTGACTTTTATTTAGAAGCTCCACGACTCTATTTCGCCGTCATCACAATGCTTCCAGTTAATAGTTATTGATTATTTAAGTTAATAATTTACGATTATACAGAATTTATCGCGTGGTTAATAAGACATGTAGAAAATTAGTATCGAGCGTAAAGTGGGACGGAGCGTTTAGCATGTTTTTTGTTTTTAAAATAATATATAAGAGACAAACGAAGTAGTAGAAACTTGAAGTAGCTACGTACCAGAAGTTATGTGTCTACTGTAGCCCATGGACACTGAGAACCCACTACAAACGAAGAAGGTTTCATATGCGTTACATCTAACAATTAGAATGGGATACCTCCCTGTCTAAAATGATGCCGTCTCTCTTTACCCTTTATACTGAGACATGCATTGCTTTTGATGGCATAAATACGTAAAAGAGTATTAACTATATAATCAGCTATCACCTAGTGAATGTGTAACAAGCCCACGCTTTTGTATATTACATTATAGTGCCTTGAGGGGCTGCGGCACAAAATATATGGCGAACACAACGCTATACCGCGCCCGTACATTTTTTAACTTGATATTAGTCAGTGCTTGAACACAATCCTATTTGGTGGTAAGTGGCGATGAAGCCAATGATGATAAACCGCATTGTCTTAGCGTAAAGCCGTTTTGCGTAGCGTATTCACTTGTTATAGCCTAGCCTATTCGATTGTATTCAGACGGAGAAAATTCCACTTCTTTGATGTACGCATTACGAAAGAAGTATTAAACAGTTTCGTTTTAATGCGTCATAATTTGGTTCTTATTAAATTATTCAAGACCACTGTGTAGTGGCGGTGTGAGAACATCCCATACCACATATCATCCTTGGGTGTCTCGAGGGCCGACAGAGGGACACAAACTGGGAGATGGGCAGAAGTATCTAACTAATAACGACAAAAATTAAAAAACAGCGGTTGCCAACCCGCTTGCCAAGCGTGGCAACTATGGCAAATATCCCACTATGAGGCACTCTATGAGGGCGGGGGGCACTCTATCAGCAGTGGACTTTAAATAAGTTGTGATGGTAACCATTAAGGCTAAGGGCTTACTGATGAGGCCGTTGTCCGCGTGCACAGCGCGGTTGGCGAGTGCGAGGAGCAGCAGTAGCGCGGCGGTCGCGTGGTGCGGTACAGCGTGCGGTGCAGCGTGCGGAGCAGCGTGCGCGGCGCGGTGCGGGCTTCGCATGGTCGCTACTCGCGGCGCCGGCGCCCGCCGCGGCGCGCCGCCAGCATCACACGCTCGCGCCGCGACGCTCCTACGCGATACCTACGAAACATTTCACTATATTTATTTCAGGGCTTTTACATTGGCGACATAAAAAAAACCATCTAATCAGCCAGCAGCTACTGACAGAAGACGATAGAAATATCTCATATTTATATCAGACATTAAGATTTAACATAAGAATTATAGAACAAAGGTTGACAAACGAGCACGCAGTGCACCTGATAGTAAGCCGATGCTGTGGTCCAGAGTATCTATATTTATTCTCAATTAAGAACCAAAATGTATATTTATTTTCACAGTTATATATTACAGTAGAAAGGTTTTCCGATTGTCTACACTTACTATACGAAACACGGCAGCTTCGAGCTGTTATTTAGCTGTTATTCGCTGTTATTCTGTGAGAGCATGGTCCTTTCCCTGTTTAGCCGACCCATGCGTGCTACAACCATACCAATTGCTGCAGCAGGGCTCTACCACGTATACGTAGGTACTCATACTGTGGCCTGTGTAAAAAAATTCTAGCTCTAGACTGTATATAGGCTGATTGAGAGAGAGAAGAAGAGAACTTTCAAATTTTATTTTCATACTTAAACGCACGAGCGACAAAAGAACACACAATCCACCTGCTGATAAGTGGTTGCTATGGTTCATAGATAATTATACTTATCATCGATTAAGAATCAAAATTCATACGCATTGGCATCTCTCTCTCTCTCTCTCTCTCTCTCTCTCTCCCCATGACCCGGTCGTTACCGGTGAAAAAGGTCTCCGATTCATCATATGAAACACTGCAACATCATGATAATATTCTATGGGAGCGTACTGCCTCCCGGTCGAATTAATCTATCCGTACTGCAGACAGACGCTGGCTTATTGTGTCTTCTTTTTGTCAACCATTTGACAACAGTCATCTTTAAGACATGAGGATTAACCACATGGGAAGTTTTCAGAACTAAACATTTTTTATATTTTTCAAGGGTGAACTTTTGGACTTAGATGAGTTTAAAATGCCAGTACCACTGCCTAAATCTGAGGTAGTAATTATATTTTATCGCTCTTAAATGAAAACCGTCTTTATAAATTTAATAAAATTTATATTTCTAGCACCTGCCGTGACAAGTAATCATAACCTTAATTTAGAAGCTGTACCAGATTATAACTATTGCTTAATCTGGGCTAATTCAATAAGGCAGTTAATCATGAAGTTAAATTATTTCAACATAATAATCAGGTTTCACCTAATAGAAATTCATCAACAAGTATGGTAATTGAATTTATTTACTCCAATAATCCGCTTCAGATGTTTTTTTAACTAAAAGTAATTCGCCTTTCTAAAAATTTACACGTGTTATTTGAACAAGTAGGACCTATATGTTGAAATATTAATATAAATATTGCTCTCGTTGACTATTGCCTCTGCAACCGACGGATTCGAATATTGCACTGTGTTGACAACAACATAAAAATGTGTTTTTTTTTTGTAGAATATGGTGACAAACGAGCACACAGTCCACCTGATGGTAAGTGGTTGCTGTGGCCCATAGACATCTACATCTATCCTCGATTACGAATCAAAATGCAGATGCGTTGTCACCCGTGAGGACTAAGATGGAATGCCTCATTTCCAGTAAAAAGGGTCTCCGGTTCTCTACACTCACCACACGAAACACAGCAACATTAAGCTACTATTTTACGCTGGTATTCTGTGAGAGCGTGGTCCTTCCCCGGTCAAGCCAGCCCATTCATGTTGACAACTATACTTCTAATATAACTGCAGCATGGCTCTACCACTTGAAAAACGGAACGGTTTCTAAACGGAACATTTGCACTGTCATTCAATGCAGTATATTCAACGCACATTGTCAACAAAATTCAAGGTTCGAGCAGCCGGCCACACTTATTTGCATATTTTATTTCTTACTTGGTTCTATTCTATAAATTATAGAGAATTTTTTGAGCTTCTTTATGCAGTACCGTTAATATGGATTTCAAAAAAAGGGTCTCGTAAAAATCGAAGCAATGTTAAACGGCGCTTGGCTTAGAGTGAAAGATGATTTTTCTGTAACTTTCACTTCTAGAAGTCGCTTAGAAGATCTAAAAAAAGAAACATTCTACAAAGAACAGCACAGAGATAATATTAACTAGATTAAAGATTCAACTAATGCCGGCCCGCCGGCTCAGGGGCCTTCACCAACATCTTGTAGATTTTAGATTATTTAACATCAAATGATATAATAGTTAGAGTTTCAGCCTATTTGCCTCCCAATTCTGGTACCTCCTCTCATTTTTCATTCTGATTTGATTGGTAGTCTATGAAAAAATTTACCTTTTTTTATATTTTTTCATTATATCTGATTATACACATAACAAAGACCGTGTAGTGGCGATGTAAAAATATCAACTACTCCATATTATCGTCCGGTGCGTGCCGTTAAAGGTGACGAAGGAAAATAAGCCAAGATATGGATAGCAGCGCCACCCTGAATTCACTAGCAAAAAAATAATAATAACATATATCTTATGGCTTATGTTTTCAATTGACTTTTGATAGGGCGTAATGTACACATAATAAAATAAAATCATGTAATTCAAGGCAGCCAAATAAAACCACGTGCCCTACGGTAAAGTAAAGCATCGTGAAGAAACCTGCATGTCTTAGAAATTAAAAAAATAATATGTTTCGAAGGCATGTGAAGTCCACTAACATACATTGGGGCAAAGCGACGGACTTTTCCCAGCCCTTAAAGCTCAAAAATAAGAGTAGACCTGTGCCCAGAAATAGAGTAGACTATAATTTTCAACTTTTACTTTTAAATGAAACATAGATACAAAGTCTACAAAATAGTTGCCAATTCTGTCAGCCATCGTTGCGATAAATGTGAGTGCAAATTGCAAATGCCTAAAAACAAGTCTGATCATTGAAGCATTTGCGTTCCGCACGCAGAATTTAGTCAAATGTTTCAAAAATGTGTGTCCAAACTTTGCTCACGTATCTAGCGACGAGTTAACTGAAATGGTTCACGATTCACACCTTCACTTGCGACACAAACGTTGTAAACTTGTAATATGTGGTTTACCTCAAACGAGTTTATACTATAAATACGTCTAAACATTTATGAAACTAATAAACTGTATTTTAAATTATTCTATCATCTGCTATAAAATATGCTATATGCTGCTATAGCTATATTAATTGTATAGTTGTTCATGTGTGTACATGGGTCGGCTCGACCGGGGAAGGACCACGCTCTCACAGAATACCAGCGTCAAATAGCAGCTTAATGATGCTGTGTTTCGTATCGTGAGTGTAGAGAACCGGAGACCCTTTTTACTGGAAAAGAGGCATTCCATCTTAGTCCTCAAGGATGAAAACGCATCGGCATTTTGATTCGCAAACGAGGATAGATGTAGATGACTTACCATCAGGTGGACTGTATGCTCGCTTGTCACCTTTTGCTATAAAAAAGAACCATCCTTTGAAAAACATGCCTAACTCTTAATGATATACTTTAATCGTAAAACTTAATTATCGAATAAATAAAGGTCATTATATTTGCTTAATATCAATTCAAAACAAATAATTGTACATTTCAGTAATTAATTTATTTTATGCTTAATGAAAGATATTAGATTTATTTAAAAATTGATAATTTTTTATCTTTTAATAACGTTCTTATATTGTATCAACAAAGTGCAACAAAAAAATAAACCTTGGACAGTTGAACGTGACGTTAACGAGTCAACGGCCTCCAAATTATCAAGTGATAAGTAATTTATTTACAGCGTGTTTTTGCACGGTCGACCCACATACGACCCGACCGCCGGTGATTGATGGAACAGGATGCGCAAGGGGCAGTTTGGAGACTCTCCAATTCATACTGCACACGACAATTATATATTATGAATATTTCTTAAAACGGAATTTATTATAAAAGCCTTTTATCAAATTTAATCGTATAACAAATAGCTACAGTGTAAATGTTATGCGACCCATTATTATGCATGTCTTTTTTTTTTAAATAAATGAAATGTTACTCCGACTTTTAAATGATAAATAAAGTTTCTATGTTCAGACGTATTATTACCATCAACGTGCCCATCACAAAGAAAGGACCTAAGCCTACTACATTCATTGTCTTCTTTTCTTATCAATTGATTTTATAGGCGACTCCACATATTTAAAATTTTGACATACGGAACCACTGAAAAAGTCTTGCCAGCTTGAACATTCACTGTTTATATCTTTTTAGTCTGTTTATATGTTTTAGTTTTTATACCTTTATTTTTCTCTTTTTATAAATTTTTAATTAATTAAAGTAACTGTTGAAATAAGAACTCTATTGCAACTTACACTAATGACTGTTATTTTGTATTTCTATGTATATTATATCGTAAAAAGCTAAATCTCACTAAGTATATTTTTATCATAGAAGAGGAGGCTAACGAGCATGCGGCTCACCTAATGGTAAGTGATCACTGTCGCCCATGAACAACTATAACACCGAAGGAATTGCAGGTGCGTTTTCGACCTTTTAGATAGGAATAGGTTCTTTTCGTAAAGGTTCCTAAGTCGTATCGATCCCAAAAAACTGCTGACGAAAGAAAATTCAACACTTGGTGTTGCGATACAGAAAATTCCATGTAAATCGTACTGTAGTGACCGCCAGCCATCGAGGTGATGAGTATGGAATTTCGAGTTCCGTAGGCAGTGTACAATGGTGGAATTTAGCAGCTGGAATTAATGCAAACAATTACTCTGAGCACTTATCGTGTTATATGCAGTAGAAGATGCTTAGAGATGCAACCTCTTCGCAAAGCCTAAAATCAAGCTGAACGTTGAATATACAGTTGTACGTTGTAAGTATTGGTTAAATCCGCAGTTACTAGTGGGGGACACCTCGGCCACTCAGAAACAAAGAAATACAAAATATATCTGCAGCAGTCTTAAAAATTTTTAC